AATATAATGTCTATGGAGATTTTTGTATGATTGGAAAGAAATGCAGGGGAAAGAGAGGTTTATGCAGTCACCGACCTAGTTATTTCTCACAAATCATTGGCGTATTTGTTTGTTTTTTTTTTTCGTTTTTTTTTTTTTTTTTTTTTTTTCTTTTTTTTTTTTTTTTTTTTTTTGTGGGGGTGGGGGGGTGGTCCCTTCCTCTTTGGAGTTCCTTCCTCATTGTGGTTCATCGATTATTGGAAAGAAGAATGTGTATGTGATGTACTTTATACAGACAGGCCTAAGTATTTACTGAAATAAGAATGAGAAGTTTACCTGACAGTTCTGAAGAGGGGGGGTAAACGTTAAAATTAAAACCTTCGAGAAAGCTAATTTTATGCCATCTGGCGATCAATATTTTCAAAATTATGTAGGGGCCTACATATATACACACATAAATAGGCATGAGAAGTCTGGAAAGCTCATTTCCCACTCTCTAGGAATCAAAATGTTTCCAGGACAAGATCCCTTTCTTTTGTGAAAAAAAAAAAATTGACACCGCCCCAACCCCCAGCCCCAAATGTGAAACCAGGTCCGCTCGTGTCAATAAATTCTATCTTTAAAGTACTTATTGCATTTGTAGGTTTCCATTTTTGCTTGTTCAAAGCTATGAATAAAACAATGCCAAAAACAAAAAGTTAAGCCTACCGGCCTATCACACTAAATGTTTTAGTCAATACTGTGTTTAAATTTTGTTTATTATTCTATTATTGTGGCAATACATACTGTATAATAAACTTCATAATAAAACTTTATATGGTTCAAATATCAAAATTTCCAAAATATATTAATGATAATCTGAGCAAGATAGACATCGTGTTTTAAAGGCCAATGGTGCAAATACAATAGCAGTACAAGTTAAAAAAAAAAAAAAACGTTTTTTGTTTTGCTAATTCATTACTGTCTCTTCTTTTTAAAGTGTATCGCTTTTGTCGTTGCTGTCTACTTAACTCCCATACCATCCTTTATTTCAGGAAGGTCTTTGAGGAAATTAAGGGCTTATTGGAAATTGTCAATGTTGAACATTTGGAGCTTATGCAATGGGGGGGGCGCTTATTCAAAATTGAACATTTGGGGAGGGCGCTTATTCGAAATTTACCATTTGGAGGGGCGCTTATTCGAAATTTACCATTTTTGAGTGGGCGCTTATTCGAAATTTACCATTTGGCATAATTTAGCATAATTTCCCATCAGCTTTGGCATAATTTGATGTTGCATCACTGGTCACACTGCTATGGTTTTTTACCCCATAGTAACCCAACCCTTTAGAGAAACCGGGTTTAATTGGTTGAATCAATACCGGTAGTATTCTATTAAAAATGCTGTCAGAAGGTCGTGAATAGAAGATCTTTCCAATGATAGGCCTACCAAACACTTGGGGTCAAAGTCAGAGAAAAGAAAGGTCGGACGAGGCAGCTTGAAAATGCTCGTTTTGGAAGGATTTTGTGGTAGAAAGAAGCCGATAGATTACCAAGTAAAGGTCGATCAAAAATCACGAAATTTTCTTGCTTCCGATGATTTTTTCGCAATGAAAATTTGGTATGTAGAAAATCAATACTTTTAAAAGCTGTTTTGATTGAAAACAGAATTCCACTAGGCGAATTTATTCTCGCGAATCGAAAGCGTCTGTTCATACGCATGCGCATTCACACTTCTATCGGGTTTTTCCACTAGGCGCATTTATTCGCGAAAATCAAAGCGTCGGTTCGCTTTCTGAGTTCTGATTGGTTGCGCTAATCGTCTGTTCGCGGTAATGAGGGATTTAAGTTTGTAATCAATGAAGCGTTTCGCCTGTACCGCTATCTACCGCAATCCAGTGTCATTCTTTCAAGTTAATCTAACGCGGTCATACCGCGATATAGTGCTTAGCAATTGAGATGAATGTATACAAATTGTCAATTTACGCGGGGATACCGCGATATGGTGATTAGCAATCGAGATGAATGTATGCAAATTATTTACGCGGGGATACCGCGATCCATCGCAATCGAAACATATATCTGTAGGCTATCAAATACGCAGGTACACCGAATCAATATCCACACACAAGTTGCTCAAACGAGGACGATAAATGCGCCGACGACGCTCATGCGAGAATATCGGATCATAACACTCGCTAAAGTAGGTTACTGTTGTAGTTGATGTGACGTTTCCACGGAAAAAAGATATTTTTTTTTATCGATCGAGATCATCGAGATTATTTACAACTAGTAGAACTTTAGCCTATACGCGGGCCATTGCAGTGGCTGTAGCCTATACGCGGGCCATTACAGTGGCTGGCTACCGCAATCCAATGTCATTCTTCAAACTAACGCGGTCATACCGCGATAAGGGTGATTGACCGTGATAAACGTGTACAGTTGTAAGTTTACTTGGGAATACCGCGATCCATTTGCAAATGCAATCATGTACAGCTGTTAAAAGCGGGGATACCGCGGTAGCTTGATGTAAACGCCTGGGGTCCATTAAACACAATCAAATCAAATAATTCATGACATGGATTTTTTATTGAAAACACACAGACAGTACAAACAATAAAAAGATAAAATTAATACAAGAAATTAACATTACAGTACTAAGCAATAATGTTATTCAAAATCATTTATAATAATATTATTCAAAATCATATATATAGGCCTACAATTATTTCGAATTGGAAAATCATGTACAGGTATAACTTACAAGCGGGTATACCGCGGTAGCTAGTCATACGCGGGAATACCGCGGTAGAAGATTGATTTGAATGCCAAAGGCCCATTGCAATCAAATCATATGCCGGTATACCACGGGAGCTAGCTTGGCTTTCAACTTGGAGGTGGAATGCGATCATGGGACTATTCTTCGGGACCGAATCAAATATAACTGAAACTTTATACGCGGGAATACCGCGTTAGATTGTTGCCAGAGGTCCATTTCAATCAGGCATGTACATGTATAGCATAATAAGCGGGTATACTGCGGGAGCTAGCTTTGTTTTAAACTTTACTTGAACATATGCGGGAATATCGCGTTTTTTAGATTGTTTTGAACGCCAGAGACCCATGTCAATCAGGCATATTGTGCATGTATAGCCCTTGTTCTTAATAGGCGGCCCGCGGGGCCATTTAGTCTGGCCCGCGCGAAAAAAAATTATATAATTTTTTTTAATCATAATCATAATAAAAAATGAATAATAATTTGATGAATATTTTTCAAATAAAGTGAAGACCAAAATGGAATCCCTGAGCCTCGGGGAGGGTTTGAAGGCGGCGGTGTGAAGTAGCGCAAGCGTTGAAAACTCTAGTATCCAATGACGACAATAGAAATTTGGTGCATAGACGTTGTTATTAATGTTATGCATAAGCCTATTACTAAATAACGTTTATATAGCCTCAGATAGGCGTACATTCCATTTGGCCTACGAGACCTTAAAATTAAACGCCACCAATTAAAATTACATGTAAACATAATTAATATATAAAAAATAGCCAAACTCCGAAAAGTATGTAACTCCATTGGCATGCCCTCACATGTTTGTACATAAGAAGTCAGTCGGCTATTTTTAGAATCTGACATTCTTTCCTTGGACAACATTCCTGAATTAGCGCGTACGAAGACCTTGATCGTCTCCGATAACAAGTCTTGTTTGGCGGCGTACAAAGAATTTGTTACTGACATGGTGTCAAGTTCTCTAAGAGTATCGTGGGAACCGAACTTGTGGGAAGCTTCTCATTGAATTCATCGTTTCTAGGCAACTTTAGTAGAGTACTGGGAACTTTATATTCTTTTTTAAAATTATTGACTACAGTGCACCCTCTAATTAATAATAGGCTTACTTGGCTATGGACCTGCATCGCACATGAGGTAGAGTTACAGGTGTTGTTATAAGGCCTGAAAATTCTGGTTTTTTCTTGTAATGAACATATTTTTATTTCAAACGATCATCTTTCCACCTTTTTTGACTTGAAAAGCTCAGGATTTCTTGCATTTATGTGTATTGGTACAACAAAAACATTTTTTTTTACATATAAATTTGATTCCATTCTTATGACGTTTTATATATTTGTCCTTTGGGCCTAACCATTCATTTACCAGCAAACATCGGTAAGAACCTCCCTCCCTCATCAGTTTTTATTCTTTGGCAGTGTGATAAACTAATATTTTTTTATGGGGCCTAATAGTGTTTTAAACATTATGATTTATACTTTTTATTTATATATATTTTATTTATAATTAGACTGACTTTTTTGTGTTTTCTTTTTTTCCCCCTACAATTTTAAAATGTATAGAAAATGTTATATTGCTGCACAGTACTACTGTACAGAATTTGATTATAATACGGCATATATCCGAAATGTATGGTAAGTGTTTGTGGTATGTGCAGTAGTATTCGTGTAACTATTGTAACTATCAAACTTATAAATTTTTGAAAATGGAAAGCATTTAGAAACAAGAAATGACACATATATATTCACCACATATAACTATAAATAAACTATTTATTGAACTTCCAACAGGGACCCCCTGCAATTATAAAATGTATAGAAAATGTTATATTGCTGCACAGTACTACTGTACAGGGTTTGATTATAATTAGGCCTATTTACGGCATATATCCGAAATATATGGTCAGTGTTTATGGTATGTGCAGTAGTATTTGTGTAACTATTGTACTATCAGACTTATAAACTGTTGGAAATTAAACGCAATAGAAACAAGAAATGAAGCATATCAATCAAACAACTTCCGAAGTAGGAAGATCTTCATTTAAACCATGTTTTTCAAGCCGCCGGCTGTATCTACATTTTTCATTCACAGCATTTACTAACTGTTTTTTTGACATAGGTATACCTGTGTTCCTGAATTGCAAAAACACTTGACTCATGATTGCTTTAACTTTTCTTTCATCAAGTGGGTCTTTGCCCTGTCTACCACCAATATTACTACGGCTTAGCTCATGTCGTTCAAACAAACAGTCCAGTAATGACTTAATTACTGTCGTTGGCCTCTGGTTTGCCTTTAGAACTTCTATGTACTTTTCTCTTGGCATTGTCACCGGTACCACGGTACAGTCTCTCCCACCAACAATGACGAAGCCATTGCTGTCAAGTTCCATTTTCGGTTGAATAGGCCCATTGCTGATTGGTACATTTTCCATGTTGGTATGGTCTGTGTCTGGATGGTCGACATGTTCGGCGGCATTTTGATTTGTTTTATTTGCTCTGATAACTGTCAGCAGTTCTGTCAATATGACGTTGGTGCGCCGTTGCTCATTTCTTGTTATTTCCACTTCCAACAAAAGTTTCTTATACGACTCTTGCCAGCTGCAATTACAGCGTTTTCGGCCTGTTGAAAAAAATATGTAGAGTATATTCGGTTTACCGGTACCATTGCATTTCATATCCCGAACTTTAAACAACGACGGTTTAAAAAGCGGAACATGACTTGTAAAAGCAGGACGATTCCATATATGTTTTCACTTTAAAATTTATTTTACTTTGTTAATCTTACGACTATACAAGAAATAAATGTGGTTGGATTCTTTTGTTCTCTAGCTTGTGATGCTATGTGTTTAATTGATATGTAAATAAGGTTTCTGGCCTATTCGATAGTTGTTTATATTTTACACTGTTCAGTAATTATGAACTGAGCATGAGCAGTAAGCATTCGCTCGGCTTTAACAGTGTTCGGTTGATATTTGCATACCAAAAGCACGCTCTCCTTGTATAGTTGTCTCAGTTTTAAATTTTAACTTTTAATTTTGAATTATGAAGTCAGTAATGATAATAATAATTAAAAAAAAAAAAAAAAAACAGTATTAATATCGGACAAACATAAAATTTAAATTCACAATTTTTTTTAAAACGACGGTTTAAAAACGGGACGAAATCCTGGCGCCGCCACTGAATCGATCTCGAGAAGCACATCTCGAAATTAAGCCTCCCTCTATTTATATAGATAGCATATGGCGACCAGGCTTATTAATCTAGACAGTAAACGATATTAATACCGGATAAAGCGACAGTTCAAATTCGCGCATTTGTCATCATTTTACTTATAGCATGCCTTATTGTTGCAAAGGATGACTTGATTTACTTACCAGCATGAACACGTTCTACCTCATCTTCATTGTTATGACTTGGCACAGACACTTCTGAAAAGCAAATAAAAATAACAAATTAATACCGAACAAACGCACAGTTTAAATTCGCACATTTTTACAATACTGTTAAACCAGTGTGAGTGCCCATCCAGAGGTCCCAATTAAAAAAGTGCAATGACCTGATTTAACACTTACCAGAATGTACATGACCCACTTCCTCTTCATTATTATGACTTGGCAGAGACACTTCTAAAAAAATAAAGTTAAAAACGGTATTAATACCGGATAAAGCGACAGTTCAAATTCGCGCATTTGTCATCATTTTAATAATAGCATGCCTCATTGTTGCAAAGGATGACTTGATT